GCTGCTGCCCCATTTCCCGAAAGGGGACCTGGCCCCGAGCCCGTCTGCCCAGGGACCGGCATGTGGGGATCCTGACTCCGTGTGGGGAAGATTTCACAACGCGCGCCCCGGAGACCTAGAGAGGACGGTGAGCGGCCGGCACCGCGGAACAGGAAGGCCGAGGACAGAGGAGCAAAGGGAGCCAAGGCGGGCAGGGCGGCCTGGCTCACTGGGGAGTCAGAGGAAAGGGGGCCTGGGAGAGTGTCGGGGGGGTGAGCCTGGGAGGAGCCCCACTGCCCAGGGCTCCCCTGGGACCCTTAGACTTTAGGAGCCGCTCACCTGTCGGGGGAGGTGAGGGGGACGGGCAACGCAGGGACGTGCTTCTGGGACTGGGAGCAGGTGCACTGGGACCTTGGGTTTGGGGGGGTTTTTTGTTTGTTTTTTAAAATATATTTTTATTGATTTCAGAGAAGGAGAGAGAGGGAGAGAAACATCAATGATGAGGGAGAATCATGGATCGGCTGCCTCCTGCACGCCCCCTACTGGGGATCGAGCCCACAACCTGGGCATGTGCCTGTTAGGCTAGGTGGCTCAGGAGGCGGCGCAAGAAATAGAGAGTCCAGTGAATCAGAAAAGAAAGGAAAGGAAAAGGTTTATTTCTGCGTCCCCGGGAGACCCACGCACCCCAAAAGATAGGGCACGTGGATTCACATCAATAGGGAGGGGGGCGCTTTTTTAATACTGCGGTTGAGTGAGGGGCGGGGACATGAGCTGAGGAATTCTCTGCTGCAGGGGATGGGCGGGGGGTATTCGGAAAGAAGCCAGTATTTGTGTGGGGGTATGTGGATTCAGGGAGAAGAAGCCTTATCTGTGTCTGGCACCTTGATCTGTGAGAAATTCCAGGGGAAGTCCATTGTCTCAGCACATGTCTGCATGTATCCGATCCTGGGCTCTCTCCGACCTAACAGTGCCCTTGACCCGAATCGAACCCAAGACCCTTCAGTCCGCAGACCGAAGCTCTACCCACTGAGCCACACTGGCCAGGGCAGGTTTGAGGGGTTTTAGAGGCGGGCGTGTGGGAGAGGTCCTAGGGGAGGGTCTCCATAGAACAGCCCTGGGTTTCATGCTGATGTGTGGAGATAAGATTTATTCCCGTAACTGCCTGCGTCCTGGGGCGTGGGTTTCTGCTATCTCAAGTCGGGGATTTACAGCTATTGATCCCCTGCGGGGAGGAGCAGGGCAGCGCTGACTCCCGTGGCCTTGGCGAGGGAAGGCAGGGCTTACTAGGGGGCTGTAAACTCCGGGCTGTTTCCCGGCTGCCTGTTCCCCTCTCCCGCTCCTCCTGGCGGACTAGCCTGGATTTCCCCGGCCAGCAGAGCGGTGTTTGTGGGGACCCCATGGGGTGGGGGCTGTGAATGTGCCCTCAGCCCCCAGGGCCGATGTGGAGGTTCGGGGGCTTGTAACAGGTCTCTCTCTGGGCAGCCCACGCATTGGACAACCAGCGAGGCAGAGGTTGGGGAGCCGGGGAGAAGGGGAGACAGCCGGACCCCAGGCCCCTCTGGAGGCAGCCAGGAGTGAAGGAACAGCGACAGCCACGCCTCTGGCTTCCTGTGGGGTGGCCCAGCTGAAGTGACAGGGAACCAAGGTCCAGGTGACTCAGCAGGTGGGGGAGGGCTGTGGCTGGAACGAGTAAGACCTGTCCTGCCTTTGGGCTTCTTCTCTGCCCACTGGGGGGTGGCCCCAGCCCAGAGGACCCTGAGTCTCCTGGCAGCCACTGCGAGGAAGCAGGCCCGAGCGCCCTGCCTGGTCTGGCTCAGTGGCGAGAGCGTCGGCCTGCAGACTGAAGGGTCCTGGGTTCGATTCCCGGTCAGGGCACAGGCCCGGGGTGCGGGCTCGGTCCCCAGTGAGGGGCGTGCAGGAGGCCGCCGATCCGTGATTTTCACCATTGCTGTTTCTCTCTCTTTCCTTCTCCCTTCCTCTCTGAAATTTAAAAAAAAAAAAAGTAAAACAAATAGACATGTTTCTTTTTAAAAATATGTTTCTTTATGGGTTTGTGAGAGAGAGGATGGAAGGGAGAGAGAACAGAGCCACCAATCTGTTCCACTTGTTTGTGATTCATTGGCTGGTTCTTGTGTGTGCCCACCGGGATCGCGCCACAACCTGGCCGCGTCACTGCGATGCTCCAACCAGCCAAGCTCGCCGGCCAGGGGGGGTCTAGGGAGGTCCAAGCGAACAGTTAACCTGATGACAAGAACAATGAGGGGCTCTGTGGTCTCCTGAGCAGGGGTGAGGCCTGGGGCAGGGAGGAGACCCAGCCTTCCGCCCCCTATTCCCACCCGTGGCAGATAATTACATGGTGAGGCAGTAACTGCTACCTGTGCCGGTGCTGGGGGCAGGGAGGACCGGGCTGCACTGATGCCTTCCAGGCTCCGAGCTGCTCACCGGGAAGGGACAGAGGTGGCTGTGGGCCTGGCCTTCGGATCCATAAGGTAGCGGGACTCACTGGGCAGGGGTGAGCCAGGGGAGTCAGACAAGACGTTGATTCAGCAACCTCGGGGCTGGAGTTCTGGCTCAGGAAGGATTCAGCCCCGGCCCGCGAGCTCAGTGCTGAGCGTCGGCCCATGACCAAGAGGTCCCAGGTTCAATTCCTGGTCAGGGTACATGCTCGAGTTGCAGGCTCGATCCCCAGTGGTGGCCGTGCAGGAGGCAGCCGATCGATGTCTCTCTCTCAGCGAAGTTTCTATCTCTCTGTCTCTCTCTCTAAAAAATCAATAAAAACATTTTTTAAAAAAGAAAAAGAATTCAGAGACAAGATTCAAGCTATAAGGTGACGTTTAGCCATGGCCGGTGTGGTTCAGTGGATAGAGCACCCTCCTGCAGACTGAAGGGTCCCAGGTTCGATTCTGGTCAAGGGCACGTACCTGGGTTGCAGGCCTCCCAGCCCTCGTCGGGGGGCAGGCAGGAGGCAACCAATTGATGTCTCTCTCTCACGTCGGTGTTTCTCTCTGTCTCTCCCTCTCCCTTCTACTCTCTCTCTAAAAAATCAATGGAAAAAATACCCTCGGGTGAGGATTTTTAAAAAACGATAAAGTTTGTTTGGAAAGTCACAGAGGCAGAAGCGGGTCGCAGAAGAAATGGGCTCAGGACACATTACAGGGACGAAGGAAGGGCCCCTGGAGCTCAGGAGAGAGAGGCAAGGAAAACAGGCCCAGGGGGAGACTGAGAGAGAGGGAGGGGGAGGGGGCAGAGGGGAAGGGGGATCATTAGTCAATGCAGGTGGCCGGGTGTCCCCGGTGACATCGCCCGTCTAGTCTTGCTGCTCTTCTGGGCCCGGAGCTGAGACAGAGCTGGGGCCAGACGTCATCGCCGGGGTTAATGCTTAAGGGAGCAGTCGTGCAAGGACCCGCATGGGGGTCACAGGCGGCCCCTCTTCGGCCCCTGGTTCCTCCTCCATGGGGGTCCGATGCCCGGGGAGGAAAGGTCAGGGGGTCTGAGCCGCGTGACCCGCCAGGTGCTGGGGGAGGAGAGGCGACCCTGGGGGCAAGGTTCTCGCTTTCCCAATGCCGCCTGTTGCCAGGCACCTGGGCTTTCCACACTGACCTTCTGTACCTGACTCAGTGTCCGTGTTCTGCTCATGTCCGTCTGACTGGCTACCACGGATCCACCCCACACCTGTGGTCATGAGCCCGGCTCTTCAGATTGAACACTGAGGCAGGCCCTGGCTGGTGTGGCTCAGTGGATAGAGCGCCAGCCTGCGGACTGATGAGTCCCAGGTTTGATTCTGGTCAAGAGCGCATGCCCGGGTTGCGGGCTTGATCTCCAGTTGAGGGGTGGTTTGCAGGGGGCATGCAGGAGGCAGCCAATCCACAATTCTCTCTCATCATCGATGTCTCTCTCTCCCTCTCCCTTCCTCTCTGAAGTCAATCAATATATATATATTTTTACAAAGGCAAAGAAAACTGAGGCAGGAAGAGGAGACCAGGCCATCAGTGGCTGGGGTCCAATCTGGGCCTCGGTCCCTTAGAAGCCATGCCCGGCCCTCGGTCGCACTGCCATCCGCCTCTGAGTTTGGGAGGTGGACTCGGTCCGTCGGGTGCCAGACCGGCCCTGCGGCTGGACGTTCCCAGGTGTTAACAGGCTGACATCTCGGAGGCCCACGCACTTGGCCGCGCTCCAGCCTCCAGCCGCACATCAAAGGCGGTGCTGAAAGGATGAAGCCAGGAGTGGCGCCAGGGGTGTTGGCCAGGCGCTGGGGGCACGGGGACCTGCCCGTGCCTGCCGTTGGCCAGAGCTTGTCTCCCCACCACCACTGGCCACTGCACCCCCCCCCCACCAAGCCGTGTCTCCCTCCCATCCTTTCCGTGTGGTCTGCGTGGCTCTGTTCTGTGGCCTCGGACAGTGGCGGGCGGGCCCACCTGGAGCAGGCGGACTCACAGTCGCTGCAGAGAGCTTTCTGGGAAGGCAAACTGAGGCATGACCCGGGAAGATCTTTTTTTTTTTCTTTTTAATATGGTTTTATTGATTTCAGAGAGGAAGGGAGAGGAAGAGGGAGATAAAAACATCAATGGTGAGAGAATCATGGATCGGCTGCCTCCTGCACACCCCCCACTGGGGATTGAGCTGCAACCTGGGCACGTGCCCTGAGCAGGAATCGAACCGTGACCTCCTGGTTGGTACATCAATGCTCAGCCACTGAGCCACCAGTCAACCAGCCAGTCTCATTGTCTTTAGACGACGAGTCCCGCACTGGGCAGCTGTGGGAGATGGGGGACTGGAGATGGGAGGTCAGAGGAGAAACGTGAGAGATTCTGGGATCCTACGGTTGAGATGCCGTGATGTTGGTATTTACGGTCACTTGTTCCGTCCGTTTCCCAGATGTGTCCTTGGGGCAGATACCAGGAGACACAGAGCGTCCTGGACGAGGCCCGGGTTCCCGGACCGCGGGCTCTGGAGGCTGGAGCAGGCACTCTGCATCCTGACCAGACCTGCCAGCCTGGCTCACTCCCCGTGAGGCTGTTGGCTGCACCCGGGGATGTCGTGGCTCGACCAGCTGAGGTCCACCTGGGGCACGAGGCTCACCTGGCACTTCCTGGAGCTCGGCCACGGCCGCTCCTGGGATCTGGTAGCAGGGCGGGCGGGACAGGCTGCAAGGAGAGGCCACTTGGTGGGAGCGGGTTTCAGGGCCCTGCTCCGGTCACGGGCCACTGCCCTGCTGATGGCTTGGGGCAAATCCCTTGCCCTCACGGGGTGCTGCTTCCCTGTGCGGGGAGCACCTGGGCAGAGAGGTACGGCAGGTCCCAGCCTGTCAGGACAGGACGGTCCAGGAGGCCACGGGGGGCCCACTTCTCGGAGGGAGACGGGCGGTGCCCGGCCAGCCTTGCCCACTGGAGCAGAGCTGGAGCCGCCTCCCTGGCCACGGCCCCTGAGGCTCTCTGAGTCGCTGGTGCCAGTACAGGAGGGCGATTAGGAGATTAAAGTGCCCGGCCAGCCGGCCGGCGGGGCTCAGGGGCTGAGTATCAGCCTGTCAACCAGGAGGTCACCGTATGATTCCTGGTCAGGGCACAGGCCTGGGTTGTGGGCTCGACCCCCTAAGAGGGGCGTGCAGGAGGCAGCCAATCCATGATTCTCTCTCCTCATTCATGTTTCTCTCCCTCTACCTTCCTCTCTGAAATCAAT